ATAATTTTCCCGTAAACGTATTATTCCAATTCTAAATATATATAATAATCGTGCCGTTTTGCTATGAGAACCTTCCAACGAGACGGAGGTAGTACAAATTGTCACTTCAATTTGAACTTCAATCATCCGTTTATTTAAAATTGAATCATCAAAAGTTGCACCGACCAAAATCCCAAATTTCATCTAGCAACTACCCGATGCAAATTTAAGTTTTTTAATAAAAAATAACATGAAGACAAAATAAAAAATCTTACTTATTGGGATTTGATTAAAACCAAAATACTTGTAATCTTGCAAAAATGTTATAACTCAGAGAAAGTGTTTAAATATGACAAAGTTTAGATGAGCCAAGACAATGGACTTGTTTGGCAAGCGGGTTATTAAAGATGACAAAGTTTAAAGCTGGTTATATTAGCGGTTCGATAACAACCGGTTGAATTAGCTGCTTTGAATGGCTGGTTACGTTGGCTACTTGTAAATAGTTGTTTGGTAATTTAGCTAGATGAAAATAGTTGTTATGATGTAAAAAGACGTATAAGGGCATTACTGTATGCTTCATACTCCGTTGTTTTTTGTTAGTGATAATAGTAATAACAATTTGATTACAAATAATATAAAATAAAAAACATGCACAATTGTAATTTCTTAAGTGTGCCATTTTTAATGAAGAAATTGTTATGATTTTAAAAGGAATTAATTCTGGGTCTTTAATGATATACGTTAATAAATTTTTAAAAAATGAATTATATTCCGTATAATATACTATATACGTCAATGTGTAAAGAGAAGAATTAAAAAGAAGAATCAAAAGAGAAGAATTATTTCTAATGAGTATGGATGTGCCCCTGCGACATATTTGAAGGAAATTAAGAGAAGAATTAAAAAGAAAATAAGAGAACATGACCTCAATCTTGAAATGGTTAGCTAGGTATGTAGTAATAATAACTCAACCAACTGAAGGAAAACGCCGGGGTTCCTAGCGTTTTGGAAAATGGATTTTGGAAAGCAAATAGTTAAACCTAACAGCTATTTAATTTACCAAACACAAGTTTTAACAATTCAGCCAGTCAAACAACCTAAAATTGGTCAACAGCTATTTAATTTACCAAACACAAGTTTTAACAATTCAGCCAGTCAAACCAACTAAAATTGGTCAACAGCTATTTAATTTACCAAACACGACCGGTATAAAGGTAAAATAACAAAACCATCTTCTCAAAAGGCCACAATTTGATGCAATGGCTATAAGAAACATGATTTATTGATTCCCATTCAAACACAAAGTCTATTGGAATTCCTTCATAAGGAATTCGTTCCTTTCTTATTTTTCATTTCAATAATTACTACTTTTATAGGATATAAAACAAAGTTAGAAAAATTTGCTTATTATATATGGAGTATCAATTATTACACTAAATTATTTTATGCATAAACTATGATATCCACAGCGTGACTCAGTAGACAATGAAATGCAGCTGAAAAATTAAAAAGATGGGATGAAAACCACCACCATCTGCTTCCTTTTGAAGTTACGGATTCTTCTCAAGTTATAGACGTTGTATTAACCCACCTGGTCCAAAAGGTTGAATGCCCAACCCCAAGGCCCTCCAACTCTGACCTGACAGAATGGTGGGGAGGTTAATCACGGCGACGCAGTCAGCAAAGCTGCGGTAGGCCTTATACACGTGTGCACCTGAGGTCCAGCCTTATTTCAGGTTCTGTAAACTCCACACGGCCGCTGTAGGTTTCGAACCTTGGTTCACTTGGTCCAATTTTCCCACCACTCGACCAACTGAGCTACCCGTGCGGGTAAACTAGATTCTCACCTTTGATAACACTAGATTCTCATTCTCACCCGTGCGATGCAGAGAGAGGGGAAGGTTCACGTGAGAATGATGTTCCAAGAGATAAATGAGAATGAAATCTAACCGTCAATTACATAAAATTAATGATCAAAATTGAGTTTAAATGAGTGGTAGTACATTTGTAAACATGTGCAGCTTTTAATGGCAAAATACTAAGCATTTAAGTAAGCGTATAAAGTCAAGGATAATTTAGTAAATTAGCTATCAAGAGATTCTAACCATATCACCTAAAAAATGGTCTTTACATGTTAAATTTTCATGATGCACGTTAAAGTTTCCTTATAAATTGGAAAGCACCCAATTAAACATTTGAATCATTAAAATACTTTCCATACAAAGAATCGTAATTACCATATAAAATTATGAGTTCAAAAGTTAAATTAATTAGCTTACAAGAGACTTCCGAAATGCATTTTAGTTATTTAGGTGATGCAAAATTATTTAAATAGTTATGCACTATAGTTATAATGCACTACTTTTTAATCTACACTTTTTATAAGATTAATCTACACTTTTCTCACGAAGTTATGCAAATAAATACAGTATATAGTTTCAAAAACTAATGAGAAGTGCATAAACAAAGCATAGTTAGTGAATCAAAAGTTTAATGAGAAATTAATCATTATTATACTATTGGACATCTCTTAGAATATGTTAGTGCAGAATATGTTAGTATAGGCTGTGCAGATTAGTGTTTGCACTTTCTAAAATTCTACATTGACACTATTTTATGAAATAAAATGCATATAGTGTGTTTTTTAAAGATGTAAAGAAATGTATGTATGTATGTATGTCGTACGTACGTACGTATGCACACATAACTTTCACATTTTTTATACTGCATATAAAAACATAAATAAAAGGTTTGGAAATAAAATTTATGATTTTCTAGATTTTTGTTTATATTCTTCGTATTATATTTTGAATTTACTTCAAAATACAAATTTCATTTTGTTATTTAATTCTTTTGAATTCTCCAAACATATACGTAGTATGGGCCAAGGAGTCCTTAAATATAAAAATCTTATAACACATAATTATTTTAATGAGTTTTTTTTTTTTACAAAACATTACTGATATAAAACTTATTTACACAAATAAACTAATAGTTACTACAATGTAGAGTCATGCTAATTTTAGTTTAAAAATTTAATATATGGTACTATGATTCCAATATTACTCTAATTACTAGTCATATTTTTGTTAACATTTTTTATTTTAGTCATAAATATGTAATTATTTCTATTTTAAATGCAAGTAAAATACATGTAAAATAGTACCACTACGTACAAAACAAGCAAATATATTTCCTACGAAGAAGATGATTACGAACATTATAGCAGAAATTACACATTCAACTTTGAAAATACTCTAAATACGCAAAATTTGTTGTGGAAATTAAGTCATTTATACTACGTTGATAACTCGTGACACCGCAACTATATACAATTCAATTATGACACAAAATTTGACTCTATCTATATCACACATTTCTTATAGAATTATTCAATAAATTGAGCATATTGCAAAAAAGAAGCTCATAGTTTTAAAAAAAATACTTCCTCCTTCCCGTTAAGAATGTCTTCCTTCTTTTTAAGTCCGTCCCACTAAGATTGTTGTTACGGGTCCAGCCCATATTTGCAATATTTTATATCGTTTTTGTTGTTTATATTTGGGCTTTTCGGATGCATTTTTATTTTCTATTTTTTGGATCCATTTGATATTGAGTTGTGGGATTCCAAGAGAAGTTTTTTGGAGGTCATTTTGATAGCATTTCCGATTTTCGCGCTGCAGTGCGCAGTTTCATTCAGCTCGACAATTGGAGGGGTTACCGTGGTCTTATTCTGCTGAAATTTAGACTGCTTGTTTGTGGCTTCAAGAGCTACATTTTGAATGGCCAGATTGTTCAGTTGAGCTTTGGTTTAGTCAGAAATGCTGCTCGAACAGACCATCAGTTTTGGGTGATCTACACCTTATTGTGCTATTTTGATCTTTTATTGTTCTTGGTGATTGTTGGTAGGTTGTGACTCTTTTGTGAACTGATTTGGGGCTCTTTTTCCCTTTTTTTATCAATGAGAGAAGTAAGGGTAGATTCCTCAAGAGGTCCCGTGATTTTTGATCCTTCACGTTGAAGGGTTTTCCACGTAAAAAATTATGTGTGCTCCTAGTACTTTATTTTTTCTCGTTGTTGTGATTTCTTTTCTGCAATAGTGCTGAATATATTTGATAACTTCATTGTGTGACAATTGGATTAATTGGATTGCTTATTTAGTTTATTGTCTTGATTGTATTTAGTGTGTGATATTTTGAGTGTCTTAGAGACCCCTTATTTGATCCCTACAATTGTCTCATACCAGATTTGGTAAGTCCAATCTGAACACGGGCATAGTAAATATTGAGACACATTAGGATACGTTGTATTTGTTAGTTCATATTTTTTACACTTGTCCAATGTGAGATGACTAACATTTTGGAAAACATTGCCAAAAGGAAATTTTTACGAGCATGTCATATAAAAAGAATTGGTAAAATGATGTCTAATGTGGAACCAAAAGATGGGAATAATCATTTGATGAAAGTTTATTAAGAGATGGAGAAATTGTTCATGTCACTTTAGAGATAGATAAGTAAAGATTACTTTAGACTATAAAAATGTTCTTTATTATAAGTACTTTTAAAAGTACAAAATTTATAATTTCCATAATATTATACTAATAAATCACGATTTAAATTTTATGAAATGATAAAGTTTTGTTGCCCTCTAGGTTAACCTGACCCCAAATGATCACAGTTAGATTGATTTTATAAAAATATATATTAAATTACATAAGTTTTTATAATATTTAATTTCATCTGACATCAAATTGCATATGTAAATTTTTGAAAGGAAATTTGTTCTAGTTTGGTCTCATCTATTTTGATCCAGTATATCAGGTTTTAGTCTGATCCGATAAACGTTTGGTGTATGTGCATTTTAATATTTTCTAAATCTAGTTTGGTCCGATTTTTGTCTAATCTATTTCTGTTCAATCAATTTAAATCCAATTTTCTCTGGTTTTATTTAAACAGTGTAACTATTTTAGTTGTACAATATAGTTAAGTCCTAAAATTAAAGCACTTCTGTACGGTCATATTTATAAACGTGGTAGTAGTACCAATATCAAATCATATCACTTATTAAATTGTCTCAAAAAATAAAAAAAGTTTAACATCAGAAAAAATTAAAAAATCTGTGCAAAATTGACCCGCAAAATTGTGCATCAAGTCAGGCAAATAATGTAAGAGATAAGGAAAGATGGTTTTAACAAAAAGTCAGGCAAAATCAGAGAGAATGTATGACCGTATATTTTTTTATAAAAACAATCCATCTCAAATCTTTAATTAATCTTTAATTAAAAAATACGGAGTAAAAGAAGAGAAAATCATAGGCGGTGCAATTAGGAGAGTATGGCCAAGATCAGCTCGCCTGGCAATCATAGGCGGTGCAATTAGGAGCTGAGTGTTTAAATACTCCGTTGAACTATTCTCATTATGATCATACAGATAGAAAACCAGAAAACGGAGAGAAAATCAGAGAGAAAAATGGGCAAAGGGAAGTCAAAGATCGAGATGAAACTGATCGAGTCACGGGCAGCTCGGAATGTGTGTTTCTCCAAGAGGAGAACGGGGCTCTTCAAGAAGGCATCCGATCTGTGCCGCCTATTCCCGGGAGTTAAAGTTGCCGCCGTCGTCTTCTCTCCGGCCGGAAATCCGTATGTGTATGGCGACCCAACTGGGATTTTCGACTCGCAGCAGCATGAGCAGGGCGACGGCAGTCCTCTTTGTGCTCTGTTTCCTTCGCCCTTGTCCGGTGATCCGGGAGAGAATACTGCTTGGAACAGCGGCGGACCGTTGGCTGACGAAGTCATTGAAGAAGTGATCCGAGGGGTGCAGCAGAGGCAACTGCAGGGCGGGTGTCCTCCGCAATATCCTTCCCCGTCGTCTGTTCTGGCCGGGGGCGGTGGCCATGTGATTTGTGAACCCTGCTGCTATTCGCGAATTGAGAAGGAGACGCTGAATACTCCTTGGGAAGATGATTGGCTGATTAGTGGAGAAGACATTGGATCAATGATCCAAGAGTTGCAGCCGCAGCAGGGCGGCGGTCCCGTTTTTCCAGAATGTTCCTCGCCGCCATCCTCTGTTTTGGCTTCCTCCTCAAGTCAGCAGGGGACACTCAGAGAAGAAGATGTGAGTTCATGGATCCAAGAGTTGTTGTGTTAGGGCCTTACTATTTTGAAGTGTTCCATCATTTTTGGTTCTAGGCATGCATCCTGCACATAACACCATTACTATTACTCTCTTCTGACTTTAGGGTTTATATGAGAATTGTTATTATTATGGGACTAATGTATAATCATACTCATAATGGCAATTATTGTATGTATTACATGATCTCACTTCCTTATTTCATTCATTTGTCATATGTATAGACAAATTATTATCTCCAGAATGATTTTAGTGTGGTCATTAATTGTGAACTATGTATATTCTAGTTCCAACTTTGAGATGTTATTATTTAGTAGATTCATGATTCATTTTTTGTTTTAACATACTCTGAATTTTTTAAATTTTGTATCAAATTTTGTATCTATATTTAATATTAATCGATTTACACTAAGAGCACTAACACATACATCTCAAATAACTCAATCTCAGGTTGATAAAAATATTATGAAGTATGAATGAATTCATACTTCGTATACTTTTTATACTACATCATAGAGTTCTATAATATTCCACTACGTATAGTTCATGCTAGAGATGCAATGAGAGATTTATATATATTTATTGTTTTTGAAGTAGATTTATAGTTCTCCTTACTTCTATATTGATTAAATGTTTAAGGATCATGTCATTTATGAAATTAAGATGTTATGGAGTACTTTATAGTTAGTAATAATATACTATCGTATAATGGAAAGGAATTGAAGATGTACGTTATTAATCCTTTAATTTACTAAAAACTAAATCCAATGGAAAACCTTCTCGTTTGCATGTGGATGCCACTGGTTCACTACCAAATAATTAAGAATCAACGGCAAGCTTATGTCCACTCTCTGTAATTCAAAGATGTTTTCTTTTGGACTGTTTGCCGTTCCAGACCAGATCAGATCAGGTCAGACCAAACTTCTATAGTAATAAAATATATAGAGACCAGACGTTTATCAAACCAGACCAGTTCAGACCAGACCAGCCAATTCCAGTTCAAAAGAAAACATTCTAACTGTTCAAATGTGGTCTGATCTGGACTGGTCATATTTGATTTAATCTTGGACCGAAAATATTGCAAACTAAAAACATTCTTAGTCATCAAATGATTAAACAATGCACTTTATCATAATTTACGTGGTTTATCACAAGTTTTGCACTCTAGTTTTGAGTAGACGCACTTTTATTCAAAACTTTATGCAACATTAATTTAATTAAAATTATGGATTTTCACAAATATATATATTCATCAATTGAATGAATTTTAAGAGGAATATCGGCCATTTTAAGAAATTGATCTGCACTTTTATAAATCACATATTTATGTCATTAGCTTGCACTTTTCACATATTATACTGCACTTTAGACATGCTTGTGTGCGCTTCAATTTTTTAAATCAAAATGATTTAAAATAAAATGAAAATAAATATTCAAGAGTGTGAACAAACAACTAGCTTGTGCATGTTAAATACTTAAAACATCACTATTATATCAACCTTTTTAAAATACTACATTGACATTTTTTACAAATGAAATGCACTATGATCATGTACATTATATATATATATACAAAAGTGCACTACTATATAACATATTCTAACATTTTACATATGCACTTTCTACAGAATGAATTGCAATTTCTTCGAGTGCATCACAAATGTTCCATATCGTGGTGTCTTTTTATTGCACTCCACATATGTCGCTTTAGGTCTTTATTGTCGGGACAACATATATCACTATCATCTATGTCACTTCAATATAATAGGTCATCTTGCTGAGTTCGTTTCTTTGTGAATCCATTGCAGTGCAGACATAAAGACAACAAAGTGCAAAATATGTAAATGTTTAAGTGCATAAAAATGGTACGCGGTAGATCATAATAATAAGATGACAGTGCATAAAATTATGTATTCTGGTGCATTTATCAGTGAGCTAAATACGAATATAATGTTGTAACACACAAAGTAAAAAATATTACAAAATGGAAGCAAATATTTGAGAAAATTAAGAAAATATGCATTTGCATTTAGGCATAAGTGTGAGAGTGCATGAAAACTGACTGGGTTTACCTAAATATTACTAAGAATAAAATTATGAATAAAAATATGACTTAGTAACTTTTAGTGACTATAATTGTATTCAACGTTTACATCGTAGTAACGTAACTTTGAATACCATTATATTCATTAAAAATTATCAAGTCACATTTTTGTCCACTACTTCTCCGGGAATAATATTAGTAAAATTGTTTCTAACTTTTACTCATCAAACAAACTAACAACCACAATTTTTTTCATGTAATTTTTTCATTTTTCTATTAATAAAATATATTTTAAATCTTTTTTTTTTGTAAATGTAAAGAATAAACCAATCTAATCATTTCAGCCAAAACTTCATAAATTTCACCAGAATCTGATTCAGCCAATCTCAATATTACCAAACGGGTTCTTGCTGAACTTTACATTTTCTCCCTCCTATAATTTTACTTCTCACGCCTTACCTAGTTATCAAAATCTATATATTTTGAAATGTTTTCAAAATCTAATGAGTATCTAGTTACCTAAGTTACACATATATACTTCCATCTTTTCAAAATTTTAGATGTTCATGTGAGTCGTAGATATGAAATTAATCAGGATACATCAGATATTTTTATCTATTTAAACTTGAAATAGAACTTACAAGGTTGATTCATGAAGAAATTAAATAAGTAAAAATTACTATAATTCACCGCTTATTAAAATGGTGTTAGAAGTTACGTAAAGTTGGAAAGCTTTAATTAGCTATAAATTTTGTGTGAAGCCATGAACTAAGCTGGAAACTATTCTTAGTGTATGTTTGGCAAACATAAGTCTCTGCCTTTTATCTTTTGCATTGTTTAAAAAGTTTTTAAAAGCTTCTAATTATATGTTTGACATGACAATTTTTAAAAGATTTTCAAAAATTAAAAGATCTTTTCTGAAATACTATGCAGAGTAGCATCTGAGAAAAGTCTGTGACTTTTCGTATTAATTAGTCCTAACAGCTTGAATATCAAACAGAACTAAATCAAACAGACGGCTTTTTACCAAACAGCTATCACCTTTTCTGTTTAAGATCTTTTCGGTCATAAAAAGCTAACATGTACTAAAAGGCTTACAAAAGTATCTTTTCAGCTAGTTGAGTCAAGCATACCCTTAAACTTAATTAATAATTAATTTGAACATAAATCACAATGTTGATTGATCGAGAACAATGTTTGATTAATAACGAATTTAGTTACTCAGTATTAGATTTTTATATTTAAGGACCCCTTATTAGCCCATATATGTTTGGACAAAGTAGGACACTAAGCTTTGGCTGGACGCCCGGATTTTTGTCTAGGCGCTCTGCCTAGACAAAAAATTATGATTTTTTTTGTTTTGAAAATGATTTTATAAACGCATTTTCTTATTTTATTTTCTTCAATTTTCCTGCAATTTTACGGTAAACATGAGTTTGTTAAGTTTGCGATTCTTAGGATGTTTTAATTTCTTTTGGACTGAAATTTGGTGATCTAGTCTAATTTATTGGAGTTTGGTCTGATCTAATAAATGTCTTATCTTTGAGTATTTTATGACTACGGAAATCCTGTCTGGATTGATCTGGCCTGTATACATCTAGTTTGGCTGATGTTATCTTTTTTTATCTATTTAAATCTAGTCTAGTGTGATCTGGTCGTTAAAAAAAGTATATCTATCGCTAACACCCTACCTTCCCCCATTGGTCTTGATTTGGACATCGGTTTACATACTGTTAAGTGTTAATTGATACGAAGCACTTACTTATTAGTGCAACAGTGCCACGCGCTAGACGCGAAATTGTTCCATTAAATTAAGTAGTACATTAGTGCATTGTAGGATTAATAACTTGAATCTTCCTTCCCAAGTTTGGTCAACTGAAATCAATTGACATCATAAAAATCTAGAAACAAATCATCTAACAAGATCCTTCATATATGATCCCTTAACAAGTAATCAATGCACAAGTATCAAAAACTACACATCTCTACGTTATATTTGTAACAAATCGAGATTCAGTTACGTGAGATTACAAAATTTGATACTAATTATGTAGAAGAAATCATTTTATAATCAACAAATGATTCAATAAAAATGGACTGATTTAAAACTAGAATTAAATTATAGACTAAGCTAGTCACATTCTCAAAATTGAGACTAGAATTTAGATACTCGAGCGCCAAATAAAAATCATTCTCAAGATAATAATTTGTTCAGACATAATAACAACATTAATTACAATTCTCATAAACCCTAAAGTCAGATAATTCTACAACAAATTAAAATTGATGGATCACTTAAAAATAAAGATAATATAATACACTTACTATACACATTCGAAGTTTGGTCTGGGAGACATCAACCAGGTACGGATCACCGGACAAGGGCGAAGGAAACAGAGCACAAAGAGGACTGCCGCCGCCCTGCTGTTGCTGCTGCGACTCCAAAATCCCAGTTGGGTCGCCATACACATACGGCTTTCCCGCTGGAGAGAAGACGACGGCCGCGACTTTAACTCCCGGGAATAGGCGGCACAGATCGGACGCCTTCTTGAAGAGCCCCGTTCTCCTCTTGGAGAAACACACATTCCGAGCTTCCCGTGACTCGATCAGTTTCATCTCGATCTTTGACTTCCCTTTGCCCATGTTATTCTCTGATCGATCAGTTTTCTGTGATTTTCTATTTATTCGATTAACAGTCAATAATATAGAGTATAGCTATATACTGTACTTATATATGAGAATTGAGAACCGCCGCCATATGTTTGGACAATCACAGACTCACACTAATGCTAGGATTGCTAGGTGCTGGTCCTTGCACCGTCTTTAAAAAGATTTGGGGGTGGGTTGCTTTCATAAAAAATACACCCTCGGACATTCTCTCTGATTTGCGAGACTTTTTGTTTAGTTTTTTTAAAACATTACTAAACTAAATAGAGAGAATTCCTCAAATAGGAGCAAAATATAGGCAAAATGCAAAAATAAAAGTACCATGTTTTGAATAGGAGTAAATTTAGTGTTTGGACAAGTATACCCCTACCTATGTCCCAACAACTTTTAATGAAATGTTTAATTCATAATAAATTCGAAAAAAAATTAAAAAATCGTACAAATATAATTAAATTTTTTATAAAATATTAATAAAAAAATTTAAAAATATATATATATTTCAGTTTTTTTTATTTTTTTAAAAAAAATAATAAAAAATAGTAAAACTCCATAAAAAAATTTAAAAAATATGGATGCCTTTTCCACCGCTTGTACTACCTCCCTGCACCACCACCTCCGGGCGGTGAAAAAATTTCCATTTTTCCTAAAAACTGTCTTTTTTCTGAAAATGCCAAAAACATGGCATATTTCTCTTTGCGAATGACAACATTTTTATTGTTTTCTGTCATAAATATGACATTCGTAATGAACTTCGCATTTTTTCCCCTGGTGACTGGAGGTGGTGGTGTGAGGCGGCAGAGGCGGCGGTGAATTTTATTTTATTTTTTTGAGTTTTTTATTTTTTTAAAAAAAAATTATATTTTTTTTATTTTTTGAAAAATAAATAAATAAATGAATTATTGTTATCGAATAAGTCATAAATTAACTAGGTTAGGATTAAATAAGTCATATTTTAGAATTAACTAGGTTAGGGATATTAAGGGTACAAAATTAATGTTTACTCCTATTGAAGGAAGTTTTAAGTTTTACTCATATTTGTGCAATTATGTTTGTATTTACTCCTATATTGGGCAATTTCTAAACTAAATATGATTATGGGAAAATTCCCGAAATAGGACTAAAAGAGTTGGAAAATTCCAAAATAGGACTGTCATGTTTTTGATTTCCAAAATAGGACTAATTACTGTCATGTTTAGAAAATATTGCCATGTTTGAAGTCTGATACTGCCAAAATACTCTAATCATTTTATTAGGGAGATTTAACTAAATAGGATTATATAAAAGAATAATTGTAACAATAGGCGTTTAATGTTTAAATTCCTAACATAGGACTAACTCTTCCTATTCCACCCTTTCCTTTGTCATTCATAACATGATTTTTTAAACAATCATTATAAAATAAAATAAAGTCAAAATAAAAAAATCGGATCCATCACTAGGTGATGGAGTATATAGACTCAGACCCCCGGGTCTCACGACTATTGGGCCCGGACAGAGGCCCACACACGCTTATCGGATGTCTTTTGTTTTATTGTATTGTTCATATATCATCTGTATGTACTAGATTAGTCTTTTATGTAGTTGGGCCTATCGGGCCCATATTAGCGGTCTGACCCATTATTTCTCTATTTATACTCCTTTTGGAGCTTGTAACCCTAGACCCTAGATCACAATTCTATACACAATACACATTACTATTCATTCATCTTCTCCACTTTCATAGCTCAATCTCTCCGTTAATTATATACTTTGGATACCCTATAATCCATCAATGGTGCTTTCATTGAGAGTTTTGAGCAAAATCAAGTGAGAAACCCTCCCAAAAACCCCAAAAATCTCATATGAATCACAAAAAATGAGCCAAAATTGTTCTGGAAAAATCAAAAGAAAGATCGAGAGATGAAGATCTGGGTTTCCGACACAGAAGCCGGAGATGTCTTCGCCGGAAAGGTCATCGCCCTCCTTGTCATCCATATTTCTTATGTTTCCTAATGTACTCAGAACTCTATTTATTATATATATGACATCTAGGGCTCCCAATTCGGTAAGCCATTCCATTATTTTTACATGGTATCAAGAGCTCTAGGTTTTAGCCAAATGTAAAAAAAAAAATCGGTTCCATGGCATCCGAAGGCTTCACCGCCGCTGCCGCATCCCAGGCAGTCACCGCCGCCATTGATTCGCCGCCGGCCATGACTGCACCTGTGTTGAGCGCGACAGACACATCGAATTTCTCTGGCCATTCGCACACGGCAGCTCTCTCCTCCACAGGTGAACCGCTTCGCTCGCAGCCCTACTCGGTCTTTCCCTCTACGGTTCCGGCAGCGCCGTGGGTCCCCCCCTGTTTTCACCTGGACTCCGTCAGCGCCAACCTTCAATCCGATAATCTAGCCACAACGCTCGCAGCAACCGGAAGTCTCCAGCAGCTCTGACGGCCCTCGGTTCGCAGGACCCACCCTGGCGGGCAGTCCAGGGTTGCACCTGCCTTCGGCCGGAATTCTTGGGCAACAGTCCACTCCTATGCCCTCGTCGTTTGCCTCGCTTGCTCAAGGCGTGACGTTTGGGACCTCGATTACACAAATTGTTACTTCTAAATTGGTGGTTGTTGAAGATTATTTGACATGGCGCACTCAGTTTGAATCCTTCGTGGTAGCTAATTGTCTTTTAGGCTTCCTTGATGGATCTCTATCTGCCCCGCCAATGTATACGTATGATTTATATCAGGCTCAGTCCCCGAATCCTGAGTATTATCATTGGCTCAAGTTAGATCAAGCGGTATGTGCATGGATCTTTGCAACTCTCTCTCGCGATATCTTGATGGAGGTACATTCCTTGAAAAATTCTTTGGCCATCTGGCAACGTTTGGAGTCCCGATTTATGGCAGCCAGTCTTGCACGCTCCATGGAATTAAAACAAATGCTTACATGCACTCGGAAGAAGGACAATCAGACCATGGAGGACTACATTCGTGGGATTCAAAATATTGCTGAGAATTTAGCCGCAATTAACTCTCCGGTCTCTAACGCCGATCTTATTGAACAAACCCTTATAGGATTGGGACCGGGTTATGAGTCACTAGTGGGCCCCCTTACCTTATTTCCAGAAGGCCTCACGTTTGACTCCTTAAGCACAAAGCTGGTTCATCAAGATGCACGTCTCCGCTATCAATGATCCTTGGAGAATTCAGTTACTACACATGCGTTTGCTGCGTCCAATTCCGCAGGAGGAGGTGCGGCTTCCTCTTCTTCTTCTGGCAACCCGCAGCAGAACCAATTCGAGAACGCGGAGGGCGTGGCGGACGATGTGGCGGTCGCCGACGAGGGCGCGGCAGAGGTCGAAATCAGCAGGCCTATACGTATGGACAGCCTTCTGCGTACGGCAATCCAGGCCAGCCGCAACTCCAGCAGCCACAGTCCGGTCGGGGAACCAATCAGCTTCATTAGTGGGGAACGGGTACAGTTATTTGTAATTCAGTTCAGTCATCGTTTTATACTCCGGCTCCCTATACTTATTCTACTAACTATGCTTGTGCAGGATCTCCATCTTTTGAGAATAGTTTTGGTTCATTCCCTCCACCTGTTGTGTGTCAGATATGTCATTCTCCAGGTCATTCAGCTGTTGCATGTCCCTCTCGTTTTGTTCAGGCTCAGGCCCCTTCCTTGGCTGTCTCTACAGGTGAATCCACTCCAGCTGTCTGGTATCCTGACTCAGGTGCTTCTGCTCACATGACCTCAAATGAAGGTATTTTTCAAAATAAATCTATTTATTCTGGACCACTAAAAATTACAGTTGCTAATGAATGCCTCTAGTCTTCCTGTTATGACTGTTGGTGAATTGCATTTATCTACTCTGCGTCGGCCCCTACACTTAAAATCTATTTATCATGTGCCTAATCTTAAATACAATCTTCTGTCTATTCAACGATTATGTGCCGATAATAACTGTTTTGTGATTTTTGATAAAAATTCTATCTGTATTGAGGACACAATTTCGGGGAAGGTGCTCCTCCAAGCTTCCAGTGATGGTGGCGTTTACCCTATTTCTCTCACTCATTCCTCGCTAGTGGCTCTAGTCTCTTATGTTGCTTCTGGTCCAGTCTGGCGTCGTCGCTTGGGACACTGTGGAAGTCGTGTTTTAGAACAATTAAAAACATCTGGCACTATTTCTAGTATTTCTAGTTTTTCTCATGATTGTATTTCTTGTCGGTTAGGAAAGTCTCAACGATTACCTTTTGACGTGCACTCGTCGTTAGGTGCACTCAAAATAAATACAATACAACGAATATACGTAGTATAACGAAGTAAGGTTCGTATCCACAGGGAAAGGAATACTTTTCTTTTATATAAATAGTAACAAGGGGGGTTTTAGATTTGTTTGGTTTAAAAACACTAAGATAAACAACCTACATGAGTTTAATTCAATGAGATGAGGACTTGGTTTTGCTTTTATCCACTTAATGAAATGTTCGTCGATCCTGGTTATATCTTTAACTATCTTCCTCTCGAATACTCAATCGAGGAGTATATCCAGTTCATCGAGGGTAGTTATTAATAACGAGATGCGTTCATTAATAAAACTTACTATCGAGTCAATATAGAACAAGCGCCGTATATTAACTTGATAGTAGCAATAAACTTAAGATGAAAACGATTGAGATTGATAACCTCAACACAAGCGGTTTATTGGTTTAATCAATATAATTAATTCCCCTTGGCATATTAACCATGAGATGCATGCATTAATATTCCAAGTTTACTACCGTTGAAAGAACCGGATTAATAACAAGCATATTAACCGATTGATTCTAGTAATAATTAATATGAGAAACAAAACTAGTTGATACTTTAAGTAATGTTTAAAATATTAATATGAAATATGAATAGGAATTAATTAATATTCATGGAAGAAGATTAAAGAAAATAACTCACAACTTTCAAATTCATTAAGCTTCAAAGTAGCAAAACCAAGATGGAAGAGTTTAGCTCCTCATTTGGAGACTAAACATGCTAAAAATATAAAAGAAATACTTAACTAAACTGAGCTAAAGAGTATATAGGAATTGGTGATTTTATTGTGAAGGAAAGGGGTGTATTTATAGGCTTTTGGGAGCTGCAGGGGCTGA